CCGGAGGGTCTTGGTTTGAAGTTTCAGGAAGAATCCGAGAGCGTTGAGCACGTAACAGCCGTTCTGGGTCAGAAACTGGCGCAGTTGTCGGTGTCTCGAGTTGATGACGACTTCGGCTGGAATCGTCGGATTTATGAGAAGAAGACATCTTGGTGAAACTGTTGAGCAGTATAGGGTCACAGAAGTGATTCACACAGAACTCGTCCCGAAGCGATGAACGTTATCCTTTTAGGTCTCAATCAAACATGGAAACTTGCAAGAAAGCTTGTTTCTAGGTCGGGAGACCAAATGTCGTACAGCAAGTTCACGTCTGAACGTAACCGTAGAGCGGTGTCCTGGTAGCAGTGGTAGAGCGGGATAAGAACCCAAAAAAGGGGTGTTCAATCGAACCGAAAACGGAAACACTAGTAATGTGTAGCCGCACTGGCTGGACGGTTATCCGGGCAGGGATAATAGGGGCTGCGGCGGAGTCGGCGAGTTGGAAGCCTACAGTTGGGGCCGGAGGTGCTTGCCTTTACGAGGTGGAGGCTCGAAGTAGGAGATACCTCTTATAGGTATCAAAGAACGTAGCCACCCCACTCTTCTACTACTGTACAAGGCCACCTTACATTAATTACACTAAATCATCTAATATTAATTACTATTACAGGGACCAGCTGCCCTGTCAGCTAAATTGGCCAACAAAAACCGGTCCAACGACTGCCAATCACAGCTCGCCAAAGAATTACTCCTAGAGTGCCAAGTGTCCAAAACCCACTATACCACACAAATATGTGATGCTTTGGCCACACCGTTGGATTTAAAACCACCGCGTGAGAACTACCAGCATGGATGGGGGCAAGGATGCGCAGATTCCAAACCCATACGATACACGTGGGATTTATCTGTCAATGATATCAACGGTAAGCATACTGTAATGATATTTGACCTCGTAGAAGGATTTTTGCCAATGATAGTCGGACTTGATGTGAGAAGACATTCCGACACGGTTAATCGGCAGACGCCTTCGTTCATCGTCTTTCAAAGACCAAACGATAAGGGCGAAAGGACGTTCTATACGTACATTGCCAAGGATAAAGACCAGAATGATCGTATTCGGTTTGGCATTCTGCCGCACTCGAAGATCACTGCACGTAGATTACTTGGAACAAAGGTGCCTAGGCAGGAACTGAACATGGTCAAGAAGGTTCATCGGTTTACTCATGCTTCGCCAAAGGAAATGAAAAGGCTATTTGAGGACGCAAAGCTAACAACAGGGGGCATTATACAAGCATGCGACAAAGTCTCAAATGCGTGTGACGTTTGTGCCTCAACCGGAAGACCCACTGACATGAAGAAAGTGTCACTTTCGCATGTGAACGAGGTGTTCAATCAAGAAGTTCAAGCCGATTTTGTGATAGTATATATAGGCAAGAATAAGCTTGAGGTTTTGAACATGATCGATCTGGGTACGAGGTACGGAGAGCGGGGCATCGCAGTTAATAGGTCTGCACAAAACATGAAGGATATGATCGAGTCCGAATGGCTATATCACCATGGAGCGCCCAAAAGGTTTAGTGCAGACCCGGAATTCTGTAGACCGGTACTACAAAGGGATTTGAAGGCCCACGCAATTGAGTTGAAGGCAAGACCCTCGAGGTCATCGTCCAAGAATGGACATATAGAAAGGAGCAACGGTGTGTTTACAATGATCTTATCTCGTTTGGCGAAGGAGAATACAACGGCTTCGCATTCAACTTTGATATAAAGGGCTTCATTCATGACCAATTTGTTTCACGGCAGTGCGAGCTTAAGTGCATTCCAGCTGGCAAGAGGATATACGCCGTCGATATTGGGTATGCCAAGTTGTATGGTTTCACCGGAAATACTGGAAGCGCACATAGAGTCAGTAGCAATAAGAGCGATTCAGAAGGTTGTCCGGTCGAAGATTCGTAACGTGGAACCGCACTCCTCGTTCCAAAAAAGGTATGCGGGTTTGGGTGTTTTTAAGACATCAAAGCAAAACGAGCGCCCAAGATGGGTGGAGGCGTGCGTGGAGGAAGGCACACGCCATATCTTGAAGTGTAGACGAAATAGGGGAGGACCAGCAATGACAGTGGCATGTGAGCATGTCCAGATAGCCCCCAAGGGTGATTTGGCGAAAGAATTAATCCTCCGAGCTTGGAAGATGAATTATCAAGCGGAAATGAGACCGATAGTGTGACAACGATGGAAACAGACGAAAGCCCTGAAACCTTGAACGACAACAGTAACGTGAATAATTCGAATGTGGTCAGCGAATCACAGCAGCGTATGGATGACATATCCAGAGAGGAAGAAGGGAAAAATGAAGCAGGTCAACGAAGATCATTTTTCCAAGCAAGTTAAGGGCGATCCGAGCCAGGATATTAGGGACACGGCTATTGGGACGTCTGTTGATGACAAGAAAAACAAGGAACTCGAGTCGCAAGAGAAATTAGCATTGGATGAGATATACAAGATCATCGGCTCTGCCCAGATCACGAGAAAGAAAATGGAGTGTGTACCTCCATGGCTGGTGGAGAAGGCGTTAAAGATGGAGATAGAAACAAATTGGGAGAATGCGTATGTCGAGGTAAAGGAGCAGGACATCAGCAAGCATGCCAATGTAATTGGTTCACACGTTGTGTACAAAGTCAAGGTGGAGGAGAATGGAGTAAAACGATTGAAAGCTAGACTTTGTCCACACGGTAACAGAGACAAAGGGAAGGATAACGTACGCAAAGATTCAGCTATAGCCCAATTTGACGTGATAAGGTTGTTATGTAGTTTGGCTACTGTACTTGGTTTTAGGTTTGGATGCCTGGACGTGCAAGGAGCTTACTTGCAGAGTAGACCCATTCGAAAAGATATTTTGTCAGACCACCACGCGAGTATAACGGCGCAAGAGGTGTGCTGTAGTGCCTTCTGAAAATGCCGCACGGAATCTCCGAGGCGGGACAACAATGGGCAGAGGTGTTTGAGCAATGTCTGACCAAGGAGGCAAGTTTCGAAAGGGTGCAAGGAGTGCACATCTTTTTGCAAGAAGAGGGAAAGAAAATGCAATTCGGATGCTTTTGGCCAAGGTTACTGATGACCTGTTGATGACAGGATCTATCAAAGATATTGAGATATTCACGGCGCACATTCGAGAACGCTTTCTGATAAGCAAGGCAATTGTTGATGACGTTATCAAATTTAAGGGGGCAGACATCACGCAGGACAGGCATGGATCGGTGGTACTGTCTATGGAAGCATATGTGAGAAACATCAAGTCGATACTGTTGGACGAGTCTAGGAAAAGTAGCAGAGACTCTATGGCGACAGAAAAGGAGATCACTTGGTTCAGATCATTAGCAGGCGAACTCGTTTGGCTCGGATGCGGAGCACTCCCACAAGCGGCATATGTGGCGTCATGCATGCAGCAGTGCGTACCAAGACTGAAGATTGAGCAGATTGTTCAGGCAAATGGGATATTAAAGGAGCTGAAGGACCTGACAGCCAATGTGAAATTCCGTGTGCCAGAGCATGAACTTTTAGATGCAGTTGTTACCACGTTCTCGGACGCAGTGTTCAATATTTCTAGAACAAAGCAATACGGGCAAACCGGATTTGTACTGGGAATTTGTACAAGGTCAATGGAAAAAATGATCAGCTTCATCATATTGTAGATTGGGCAAGTTCAAAGCAGAGAAGAGTCACTATTCTTACGGTGCTGAAATTCTGGCATGTGCAGACGCGGATGATCGAGTATACAATCTTAAGCTGGCTCGGACTTCTCTGTGTCCGCAAGTCTTTTTCAAGCACGTCCGTAACGTCGACTCCAAGGGACTCTAGGATACAATCACAACTTTGTATGAAGGGCGTGATTACAGGTTACACCAAACTGTTCAACGAATAAGAGATTCTTTCGAGGCTGGTGAATTGGATGTTCTAAGATGGATGCAAGGAGTTGTGAACATATCTCATGCGTTGACTAAGAGAAATCCGGTCAGTTTTCGAATGCTTAATCGTATTGCATGAAGTGGAACGCTGGAGCTTCCTGCACATAAGTCTTTCGAGGTGGACTCAGAGAAATTGGTACGAGTCGTTAAAGAAAGTGCCTTCAACGACTAGGAGGTGTGTGAAATACATGATAATGTTTAGGTCTAATGAATTGACTGAATGAGTATGAAATGTGGTGATCAGCCGGAAGGGCCGCGAGCATAGATTAAGGTGTGCGTATGACAAAACACACACATATACAGAGGAAGCAGCCAGCGGGAGAGGAGTGCGACATTGAATCGCTAGGAGGAAGGGTCATGGGCAAAGAAGTAACAAATGCATAAGCGAAGGATCGCGGAGGACATAGTGCACGTAGGGGATGTGCAATGACATTGCACTTGTAAGGGAATTACAATGTGAAACACCGAGGAAGCAGAATTGAGAAAAGAGGCGCAGGACGATGCGAAGAATGGGAGGAAACCCAAAGGGACTTAGGTATTTATACAGCTTAGAGGAGAGCTAGTAGGGAAGAAAAAGAGGGGACAAGCGACGGGGAGATTTGAACCGAAGCCAGCTGATGCTGAATATTTGCCACACGCACCAGATTGTAGCACGCCGTAGTTTGAAGGGAGCAAACACATTCCTGAAACAATATGTCTCACGGAAAACCCACAACGGTACCTTCGAAGGCACCTCTCCATTAAGGGCCGGCCGCTTCTGCGCCCTGGCTCCCCCCTTCTAGTTACAATAAAGGTCGACCATTCAAAGGCACAGTATGTAGTACCAAGGGTACTGTAGTCAATATACACGTGGACAAATTTTTCGTGTAAATCTCCCAGATCTTGTCGCTTGTGCAAAGTCCACGCATAAGAGCCCCATCACCACCAAGATGCTGGCTGTACTGCTGTACACATTATTGGATCTGACAAAGGAAAGCAACTGTGTTCCGTTGCGCTCCGCAATAGTCTTGGTTTTCGGTTGACATTCCCGCCGAGCTCATCCACAGAATCTCATGCGCAATGAGCTCCGCGATAGCGAGAGCAGCCTTTGCAACGTCCACGTCCGTTTCCTTGCGACGCTCCTCTCCATTGCCCTCATCGTTCCAGTCTCTTTCACGACCCGTTTTGTGGCGGTCCGCCGCATTGAGATCTCGTCGGTTCGCAACTCCTTCAGCAACAGTAGCACCGGCGACAAAGCAGGTACGCGTTCGTTTTGCACCGTCACCAACTGGTGCACTTCATGTCGGTGGAGCACGCACCGCTTTGTACAACTGGTTGCTTGCACGACAAACAAAGGGTGCGTTTCTAGTCCGTGTTGAAGATACCGATGTTGTACGTTCAACTCGAGAGTCAGAGGATATGGTTCTCGAAGATCTGACATGGTTGGGGCTTCATTGGGATGAAGGGCCGCGAGTTGGCGGTGATAGAGGTCCCTATCGACAGAGTGAGCGATCTACAATTTACGTAGAGCTCGCGGACAAGCTGGTCAGGGAGGGCAAAGCATACCCCTGCTTCTGTACAGAGGAAGAGCTGGACAGGAAAAGAGAGGAAGCAGAGCGAGAAGGAAGACCTCCGCAATATGACGGGACTTGGAGAGATGCCGATCCGGAGGAGGTCAAGAAAAGAATTGACAACGGCGAACAGTATACTGTCAGGTTTAAAGTCCCGTCTGGAAGCAGGGTCATCATTGATGATGCAGTCCGCGGTAAAGTGGCATGGGACGCAGATTCTACTGTGGGCGACTTCATCATTCTGCGGAGCACAGGTGTGCCGGTTTACAACTTTTGCGTAGCGGTTGATGACGCTTTGATGGGCGTTTCAACAGTACTTCGTGCAGAGGAGCATCTAACAAACACTCTGCGCCAGGTGCTCATTTTGCGCGCGTTGGACTTCGAGACTCCTGAGTACGCGCACTGTTCACTCATCCTGGGTTCAGATCGCTCCAAACTGTCAAAACGACATGGGGCAACATCTGTTACGCTATTCCGAGAGGAGGGATATCTACCCGTTGCTATGATCAATTATCTAGCGATGCTGGGATGGAATGATGGCACTGAGAAGGAGATCTATACTGTTGAAGAACTAATCGAAGTGTTCGACATTCACCGAATCACCAAATCACCTGCCATGTTTGATGGGGACAAGCTGCGCTACATCAACGGACAGCATTTACGCGCGTTGCCTTCCAAAGAGTTGGAGGATCTTGTTCTTGCAGAATGGAAGCTGTCTGGAGTGTTTAACGATACTCTGGAGGCAGATTCGCCTCTGGCGCAAGCTGCTGTTGCGCTCGTGCGTGGATCTTTAGAACTTGTGAATGATGCGAATGAGGAAATGCAGAAGGCGTTTGCATACCCGTTGGACGAGACGCTTGCATCAGGGGAGGCAGACGAGTTGATAGGAGAGGATGGTGGTTTCAATGAGGTCGCTAGTGCCGCGCTTCGCGCTTACGATGCGGGGGAATTGCCGATTGGAGATGACGGGGAAGAGCACAAAGGGAAGTGGAAAAAATGGGTCAAAGCAGTAGGGAAAGAGTATGGTCGGAAAGGAAAACGATTGTTTCATCCACTTAGACTAGCGCTCACTGGAAAAATGAGCGGACCGGATGTGGGTGAAATCCTGCAGATTTTGTACTTGACAGAGAAGGGTGAAGCCGCAACGAGTTTTGTTCCACTTGCAGAGCGAATGGAAGCTTTGAGGAACAAACTAGGGGCTTAGTGAATGAACATGAGTATGCGCACATTTGGATCAAGGATTCCAATAAATCATTTCATGACGATCACAGATTCCCGCGACAACGGCCTCTGACTGCAAGGGAGGCGACAAAGCTGTCACTCGTAGTAATCTCCGTCACGTATGAAAAACAACGAAATGACTACATGACGACTAGCTAAAAAGTATTGCAATGACGGCATGCAGGAGTCGGTTTATGCATAACATGTGGCAACATGTTCTAGCCGAACTACGATGGCGCGAAGCACGAAACGCGGGGAGCGCAGACGACAGATGAGATCTGATCCTTACTTCACGAGCACTGCGCATTCGGGTGACACCGACTTGCCAGTTGAGCAATGGCCGGAACTCCGCAATACAGAAGTTGCGCTTAATCGACGTCGGCCATGGGCACGTTAACCTCTCCCTCAGAGAACTTGCCCTTGTCTTGCTTCGCTTCCCTGTTCTTCCTATCAAGAATAGCCTTTCTATCCTTATCCATCTTGATCTTGGTGATGACCATGTTGCTTGGGTGGATTCCGACGGGGACCGGCATTTGGTTTGCCTTTTCCTTAGTGCAGCGTTCGACGTGGACGACGTATTTCTTTCGGTAGCACGTGAGGACCTTACCATCACCCTTGAAGTTTCCACGAACGATCTTGACTTCGTCACCCTTGCGCAGTGGCAGCGAGCGAACATTGTGCTTCTGACGGAGCTCAGAGCTCAGAGCAGCCGACATGATAATACGACGCACGGACGAGGGGGCGGTGAAATGGGCCTTGCGGCTCTTGCGCCGCGAAGACGAAACCGCACTGGACTGCTTCATGGTGCTAGACGTTTGCGGCTGTCGTCGAGCTGTGCGCGAGAGGGCTCTGATGGAAAAGGCAGGGAGTGTGGCCGACTGAGAAGGGCTTGCGGATATTGCCACATCGGCCGGCGGGCCATCGGCGGGAATGACACACGAGGCGAGAAGTCCAGTGTTGAAAATTGAAAATAATGAAGGGGTTGGTTGAACGCCGGCGATCGATTTTATTTAGGGCACTTGGATCGAGATCCCAACCAGATCGATGCCAATCCGGTTTAGAGAAAGACCCGTACACGTGGCGTCATATCAAGACAAGGATGTCACTAGGCGGTGTCACCAGTCATCTCAGTGTCTTGAGATCAAAAACCGCTCCTTTCGACCTCACGCCTCATCCCATTTATCCCTCTTTCTTGCATTGCTCCATTACTCCTCTCATCACAAGAGGCACAATTGGAGGTCACCTCTGCTATATCCCCGTCGTCAACCCGTTCCCCCTGGCATATTCCAAATTGCTCCTAACGCAGGCTTCTCAAACCAACCGACGAAGATGCGATGGCAATCGGCCGCTCGCCGGGCAACACGAGCGCCGCGAGCATGCGGCCATTGCTGTTGCTCTTTCTAGCAACCCCCTCCCACTCAGTCCGCCTTCTTTCTCCTCACCGAGTTCCGGTTTTGAAAGGAAAGCGCCTTCGTGGATGTCCAACAACTCCAAGCGTAACATGTCAAGCTCCTCGCGTCACAATTTTGCCATCCCCACTACCACATGTCGCCACAGCTACCCGACGTAGCGCTCGTGTTCAAATTCTCACCGACTTCTCATCAAACCCGCTAGCTGCAGTCACTGACCGCGCCGCCGACCCTTTGTCAGCCTGTATGCTTGTCGTTGCCGCCACTCTCGGCGCAATTCTCTCCGGTTTTGCGGTTGGTAGGAGGACACCGGTCCTTGTCGGATCTTCCTCGTCGCCCCCACGCCAGTCTGATGGGCAGCGTAAGGAAATTGATGACAGCAACGCCTTCCTACTTTCAACTCGACCCAATCAAATTGGTCGCTCCAGCCCGGGCGAGAGTTCTTTATGGCTGAACATGAGGTTTGTTTTCCAGTGACGGTCGTTCTGCACCCACTCGTTCGCATAGAGCAACTGACTTGAAATGTGTTTCTTTGTTCCTCCTTAAATTTATATATCCTTTGCTGCATTCGGCAGTCTCCGTACAGTGTGGCGACTATTTCGCAAGTCAACAAACTCGCTGACAAGAGATGTGTTGCAGCCAGTTTTGAACGACATGGAGTTGCCTCCCATGGTCGAATCCGTGCTTATAACTAAACTGACCATGGGGGAGAGCCCGGCACTGGTTCAGAAGATCCAGCGACTTCCCTCTCGGTCTCTCAGCGAAATACAATATCGATTTGGTTTGCGTCTCGTCGGTGATAGGGACGGTCGCATCGAGATGAACGTCGCCGTTCGTCTCCCAGCCACCAAGAGGCTAATCAATATTCCGATTAGCGTCAGCTCGCTCGACATTGAGGCCCAAGTGTGGGTCGGCTTTACTCTAATCCCATACAAGCCCTGGATCAAGTTTGCGCAATGGGCACTCGTCAGCATGCCAATCGTTAAACTCAAGCTTCGGATTGCTGATTATCTCCCAGTTTCGGCAATTCCGTTTTTATCTACCATTCTCAACAAAATTCTTACAAAGGACGTGCCACGCGAATTTCTCTTTCCGAAGACGCAATTTATCGATCTCATGGAAGAAAGAGAAACAAACGTTGAGCGGGAGATGGACGTTCTCAACGCCGGAGGGGTTCGCCCACACTCCCGTGCTACGTCTAAAGAAGACCTTAGGACCAAGGTTCCAGAGCTGGTCAACTTGTTTAATGTGTTGGACTTGGATGACGACGGCGTATTGAGTCCTGCAGAAGTCTCCAGCGGCCTTATTGAATGGGGCTATGCGTCAGAAGCGGACAGAAATTCAATTGCAAATTTGCTCGATATTAACGATGACGGCAAGGTTGATCTTCAAGAATTTGTCAGTGTATGGGGGGACCTCAAAAACGTCTTCGTTCCACGACGGTTTCGAGGTGTACTAACCGGCCTGTTGCTACGAGCGGAAGGCCTTCGTCGGCCTACCCTTGGAAGGACAGATCCGTACGTAGTGCTGGAGGTCGAGTCTCAGTCAACAATTTCAAAGAAGAATAGCGAGACCTCAGAGATCGGAAGTGGAAATGGGTCCGCGGTTTGGAACGAAGTAAGTTATTTTTCACTCAGCAAGCGTCGCACTTAGAAATATATACCCCCCCCCCTCCCCATCGTCCGGTTGTTTTGCCACACTAACAATCGCTTCATTTCGCCTTTAAATGACTTCGCATAGGGGTGGGAATTGTTCGTGCAAAAACCGAAAACGGGCATGCTCAGAATCAAGGTTTTGGAGGGATGCTACTTAACTTATTACCGCGATTTTCTGGCACCTCCAATTGACTCACTCACGCACAGCGGGGCCGGCTCGATGACAAGTCTCGTCGCAAAAGCCAACAGCCTGAACAGGATAATTGGATACGGTAGCATTCCCATCTCTCAAATTAGTGGTACTGCTGCTTCTTTCTGGATCGACCTATCATCCGGGGGCGGCCGTGTCAAGATGGACGTCCAGTTTAACGAGTTTGTAGATCCAAAAGTACCTTAATCGATTGATGGATGCGCCTACCTTGTCAATCGACTATGCAGTCATTTGCCCTTCAGCCAGCTTGTTCCATGCCATAGCAAAGAACATATCTCCATCGACGGCCCCGTATAGAGCGATTGAAAATGATCGAAGCAAGGTGGCTGACGAATAGTAGATTGTGCTCGAATTCTGCTTTGCGGCTTGCCTCGAAGTTGCCATAGGAAAGCGCAATACTGTTGGCAGATCTTGCGGAGTTGTTTAGTTTATGTGTTTCTGCGGAGTGTATACCGCGTGAAGACTAAGTTAGCAAGGAAGGAGATACATATCAGATGCAATATCACGCCGGGAAGCGGCGAGGTTCTAGAGTTTGATTGTTCATGGCAACTATAGAATCGTGGATCCTTCTTCGAGGGAATTTTCGATTTGTGTACGCCATTGCTCGCTCATACACGCGCTCTCTTTGCTTGACTTTCAAGGAAGAAGTGGCGGATCCATGGCCGCCTACACCACGCTCAAATTTAGCGCTATACGCTCCGACGGAGAAGCCATTAACCCAGGCTTCATAACTAAGTACGCAATCCTGCCAAACTCCAGGCTCTCCGCGCTTTGCTATTGTTAGTTCAAGCCCTCCTGCTCTGCGCAAGAGGCTCCGCCGAACGAAAACTGGTGCTATCCATACGCACTCAGCGTACATGAACGGCAGGCCCGTTGTTGGTTCAATAAACGGAAGGGGTTGAGTGTTTCCTTTCCGAAGGCCACCATGCGTGCTAGTCTGCTCGCCGTATTCATATCCCACACCAGTGGCATGGTCCCATAGCTGACCAATATATCCACCTAGCACACCAAGTTCTGGGAGTGCCTCGAACAAGCGCAGCGCATTCTGGACCCATTCGTCCGACATGGGCAGTAAATCGTCGTCCTGGAGAAGGACTACAAAATCGCCTGACGCCATGCGCATTGCGCGATTGTAACTGCGCAATTCATGCAAGTTGTTTGACCTAATAATAAAATGCGAGGGATCCGGGAGCGAAGATTGCCAGTCGTGCAAGGATCCGTCTGTTGAACCATCTTCGCTGATAACTATTTCTTCAATAACGCTCGATCTCTTCAACGCGGTAGATATGTTTGCAATATTGGCATGGTGGTTGAAGCTCTGCACGATCGCCGTCAGGCGAGGTTGACGTCCAGCATGAACCTCAGGTATTTGACATCTACATTTGTATTTGTCCCGTGCAGTCACATCGGGTTTCTCCGGTTTGATGAATTTGTCAGAAGGGTCAACATTCGTTCCCACAAACGCATGCTTCAACCAGATGCGCCCCGCATCTCCAATATCTGGCAAGCCTAGGTTGATGATTTGAGCGCATTCCTCCCAAATGAGGTCGGCGTATGAGCGTACGCTCCTCAAATTGGCAGTACTATCATGACGGCGCGGCCGGGTGCCGGCAATGGTAGAGCCGATGTAAAGCTGCCCGTTAAGGACGAGAAAGGCGACGAAAAAGATGAGTAGAATTCGGGCGGTGGTCTGCGGATGCTTGGAAAGATTCATCGTGCGTCGCTCGGGTGCGTTGGCTTGTGGCGTGCTCATGGCTCGCCCAGAGCATGAGGGTGTCTGGCGGGGACGGTGTTGGCGTTGAGACGAAAATTGGTCACTGCGATTGACAAAAGCAAAACGAAACTCGACACTAACATGATCGTCCACGGCGCGAAAATTCATTAGAAATGAAGCTTCAATAGAAATCCGGCAACAGCCAGTACGCCGTTCCCCAATTCCATTCTAAGTCGAACTGCCCCCTCGGTCCTTGACGACTCCCTCGTGGTGCCCTGCACCTCTAATGCCTACGCACAGACTGGTTCACGCTCTGCGCGAAGATCAGGGATGAATGTCCCAGCTTCCTAAATAGAGCCGCTGCGCAGAAATTACCGCGACGGAGCCTACTGGCCGTAGCACGTTTTTCGAACCTGATACCAGCGTTCTCGTCAATACGAGCGACCACGCAGCAGGCCCCCACACGAGTCACCACTTGCCGCAATCAGAGGTACATTCAAACGAACGGGAATGCGTGAATCCCTAACGTCCTCCCTCATAAACGCAACCATTTTCTCGAAGTTGGTTTCCTACATTCAACTCCCCTTCTTTTTTATATTCCAAACATCTACGCTTAGGCAACCTCTGGTGCATACTTGAGAATATAGTCCTCAAGCGCGGGCTTCCCCATAGCTCCTTCCCTCACCCCGAAGGCCTCACCGTCCTTAAAAACGGCGAAAGTCGGGAGCCCGCGAATGCTGTAAGTATCGATCAACACATCATCCTTGTCCGTGTCAACTTTCACGACTTTCAATTTACCCTTGAATTCGGTCGCAGCCCAGTCCATACTTCGCGAAGTCAGCGGAGAAAATTAAAAATAGTTAGTGACAAGCCATCTCACATTCTGCGCGCATGCTCAAGAAACACTGGCTACATACAGTGGAGACATTAACTTGCAGGGACCACACCACTCAGCGTAAAAATCGACGAGCACAGGTTTATCCTGTTCATTACCGGAACGCAGTTAAGACGCTAAGGAGTTAGCGACGATGGGCTTCTACGTTTTGTGACAAGTTCGCTTGAGAACATTGCTAAAGAAGAGCCTGTTTTAGCTTAATGCGTACCGACTTCAGAACATCCGATTCAAAATTCTCGGAGGTGATATCGAGGGGTTTCCAGGAGCATTTCACAACGCTATGGCTTACCCGCGACGCATAAGATGGCAATTGCGCTGCATGATAGGCCACCGGCCTTACGCTGCTCACGAAGGATGAACGCGAAACCGATGAAATCGGGGCAACTGACGGTACGAACGCCGGTGACAGCGGCATCTTTCTCCGAAGGATACGCGCGTGTGCAGCGAAAATTCGATGAGATACCTAGCCAACACTCTGCAACTGGACAAGGCTTGGGTGAGGATAGATGGTAACAGAGCAATATGAGGAGGGAGATGTGCGAGACGAGAAGAAGTGACCTAGATAAAGATTCCACTGTTACAAATTTTGATATAATTTTTCACTTTTCAACAGCGCCTGAGCAGTGATGCGAGCTACAAAATAATCTCGCTGTGGTTACCTCATATCAGTTCACAGTGTACCTGGTTGGAGCACTCATTTTGGAGAATAACTTAAATCGTCTCATCTGCAGTTGCTCTGGGGGATTCGAGTTGAAGAAGTGGAACAGATCCCTGAGAGGGGGGCACTACACGGCTCACTAGAAGAAGTGCCAGTGCTGCGTCGCAACTGCTAACGCGTAGCACTCGAAAATCCTAACTCCTTTCAATATACTAAACATAAAACGTTCGCCTGACCCTTGCCAAGAAGCGAGCTGTTGCCTTCAAAAACTTCGCGCTGTCACGATTATACTCTACCGAAACTCTTTTACAGCATCGTCGGAAAGTCGCAAAGAAGCCGTACACTTTCATATTGCTTTTGACAAGACGAGAACTTCCACGTGCCATCCTTCCGCGTTGCTCACGACGTCAGGTTTGCTCACATTGATTTCGACCTCAGCTAATGACATTGCTGTTTAACCATTAACTCTTTTTTCCGGATTTGCACGAAAAGTTCAGCTGTAATCCTCCTCTGATCTACCTAGAAACCGAAATCCACTCAGAAATCCCTTACTAGTGATGCTTGTATCTTTGTATCTACACCTGACAGTGCAAAAGCATTCCTCGTGCAATTGCTACGCATTTGAAGGGCTTCTCTAAAAACGAAAAAGAAATATAAAAACAGTCAATATAGTCGAAACCAAAGGCATGCGTTGGACTGCCCTCTGGTTAAAGCCAAACCAAACCACACCAGCTCACCGGCCCCCTTCTCCATCAGTCTTCAGGCACTTCGAGAGGTAAGAGCTTTGAGCCAGCAGTGCACATATTGGAGGATGGAATTCCATAAGAACAAGAATTGTCCAACTTTCCGGATCACGCCCTCACCTGCAATCCCAACAAGGGAGATTGCTCTACAGAGACGTGCTGCCGGCCTTCTAACAGCCTTTCATTCGCAGCTTCGAAGCACGAGGCCTTGTTCTGTAAGGGGAGGTTTCAGGTAGCGTCCAACCGCAATGCAAAGCTAAAGTATATTTGTAGGGCAAATTTGCAGTATCTAATGTCATGACCTCATCAGAAATATAGAACCAGTCTTCTTCTTCTTCGTTCTATGTACTGTATATCCCCTGTAGGAAGCAGTTTTTAAGATCACAAGAAAGAACCCAGAAACTACTTGAAACGCCTTGAGGAAAGATGCGACGAGTGATGCAGAAACTTTGAGCATGAGTATGGACGGACCATCTTGCCGAACCTTCCATGCATTCTGAAGCGGAGCCACCCACAAGTAAAGATGTCCCCTGGTACACGAGGAGGGAAGGCCAATAGCTCGGAAAACAACGAGATCAGCACTCTTCTGCTTTTACGAAACTCAATTGCATTCCACACTACCGCTGCCCAGAGTCTCTACACTTCTCATCTTGAGTAGACTTCGGCTTTCCGCATGTGAAGCACAGCCCATGAGTGGAGCATTTCTGCAACGGACCGAGTGGACCATGGGTCCAACTCAGTCCCTTGAATTGTATTGCGTCATTCGCAGTATCGGGTCCCCTCAACAAGCATTCCATTCTTGACGCGATCTTCCCTTCAGAAGGTTTGCGCTTGCCATTCGCCTGATGCTGCCCAGGAATTACCCTTATCAAAACATCAAACTTAGATTGAAACAATTTCGGGAGGACACACCTCCTTGTTATCATAGACGCCAAAAATATGAACCCTTTTGCTCTCCGAGACGATTACGTGCATATGAGTCAATAGCTTCCCACGGAATTTGGTCGGGATGGACCCGGAAGAGACATGAGACATCATAACCTCGTCATGATCAAAACGTCCCGCTAGCTTTTCAACACGAACTGGACTAAAGACTTCGTAGTATAAGATCTCAGTGTGGTTCAATCGCAAGAACAAATTCTGGGCCCACGCCTTCAGAGCTGCGCTTAGTGCCTTATGTTGATGCATTTTGAGCCGACTGATTTTTCCTGGAGATAACTCGCTTCGCACGCACCCCAAAGACTGGACTTCCACCCCGTGATTTGTCATATCTTTCCAAAAGAATGTTCGAAGAATGACGCAAATTGTGCATTAGCATGTCTCATCAAACGAGGCTCGTAAGTCGGTTTGAGGCTGGTCTGTACTCCCCGCTTGCTCGTGTAAACCAAGACAAGTGCAAACTCACTCGCGACCGGTACATGCAACTAAGACGTCAAGTTCAGGACAACATATCGAACTCACTTCAGGGATCGAACCAACTTGCAATAAGAGCTACGACAACCTTCCCTGATATCCCAGAGGACGCTCTTAAAAATTGCCAGATGCACTTTTTCTGCAACGAAAATGAAGATGTAAGGCTACTAGTTGGTGCAGACTTGGAGAGGGGAACAGCGTACACAATAGAATATGTCTCCGACTTGCCAGGAATTGATCGAATCTTGCGGCCAAGTGATTCTACGAAATTATCGGCTGGACAGATACGACTATACAAGAAGTTCACGTGCTTCTTAACACGAGTCCATGTAGGCATTTTAGGCCCCTTCCGCTGTGCCAATAGGCTTAGACAAGTGACCGCCGGGAGTGAAGAAGAGCATGCCTGCATGCTGCGAGGAGATCGACCTATTCCAGTTTACCGAGCGTTGATTCCGTCGTTTGTTCGTCTCGAGCAAATAATGGACTTTCGCCTTTCTGGCCGTTCTTCGCGATACCGCAAGTTGTATCATGCGAGTCCTGAAGGAACTATTCGAGCATCCGACTTGCGAGACAAAATCATTTATCTCGGATGACAGTTATCCCGTTCTGTAAGAGAACTGAGCACTGCAGTCGAAGATATCCCAATCTTTTCTGTCGAGAGCAATATCTCCACAGACAAATAAAATTCGTAGGAGTTAGCCTTCTATACCTTTTTCTCAGTGCACTGCTGTTATGTTTGTCCTTCCTTTTCGCCCTTTGTCACGGCAGCAATGGACCAAGAACTTCACCAACGTCCAGAAAAGGATACCTCCTGTCACGAATATGATCAAAAAGGGCTCGGCAGCTAAAACATCGTATATCAAAAATGGATGTTTGGGCCTTGCCATCGATTGTAGAAAAAGCATCTTACATTGACCCATGATACTCGTTTGCAGACCCAGCGTAGAAAATTTTATACTCAAAACTATTCATACAGACCAGCTGCTAATACCTACGGTACGTCAACCGTTTCTCTTAAACTGATATATGCCCTGGTGACTCGCCCAGGTTGGCACCCGGGTTATCACCCGGCCACGAATACAGACATGTGATGAGCGAGGACCGAGGGAGACATCATGCATACAAAACCAGCGGTTCGATGCTTCATACGAGAGTCATATTACAAGGCAGTACTGTGGAATATATTTCTTTCGGAAAACTGTTTCTTGTACAGTATCTGCCCCCGTAAAGCTTAACAAATGCTGCATGTGCACATTGTTGCCATTTTGCTCGTTTGCACACGTCTAGTTGAGGAGGGCGTCTCCCAATTGCGCAGCGCATGTCAGGTCAAAGCCTTACCATGTGAGGATGGAGTGGACCGCTGTGAGGCTTCAAGTATAAATGCCGGTCCACAACACTGCTCTTTTTTGGACCCAACCCTGTGAGGCCCCAAGCTACTCGAAAAGTTCTTCAGGTCTATTGCCCGTGATCCGTTCTTTTTCTTCACTATCTTGCAACCGCTTTGCTGCGAGCTGCAAAAGACACTCAGGTTTTTATGCGGCCACTTTCCAAAAAATGAGCCCTGTAAACTGGCCTCGGCCACACCGCCCCACTGCAGTGCACCCAAATGTAACAATAATGGCTGAAACTGCATGTGGCGATATGTCTTTTTTTTGTGGCGGATGTAGAAGATTCTCGCTGTCAGAGCGCTGAAACGGGAGCAAGCTAGTGATGGCTATTTCTTATTGATTTGTGTGATATATCTGCATTGTTTAATATGCATCGGCATGAGCTCTCGTACTCGGATTCGCATCACGAAAACAGAAAATGAGTGAATGGGCTTGCATTTCCTTCCGTATGAAAGGCAGCGTTGGCAACCGTATCACACCAGAACTATAGGGCGACGTTTAGGGGAATATGGAAGAATTGAAGTCAGTATTGACGCACTGATGAATACAGAGGAGAGAGGTGTTCATGAGACGGCAGATTGTGAAAAAGAAAGAGACAAATGCCAAACTGCGTGACATAATAGCATTGTAATTGTATATGGACTGTCATAATCGCAGCATAATCCATTCCGTGGAAATCAATAAAAATGCAATCGCCCTTGGAGAGAACATTTCTAAGACGAATAAGCAGTACAGCGAAATCTCTCGAATGAGGGAAGAGATTGAAATGCGTGCACATCTATACAGGAGATCGCTGACAACGGCAAAAATGTAATGCCAATCCATTGACATCGACTCTACTCGCAGTCAAAAGTACCTTGTCATGGACATTTCTGTACCAGTATGAGCACTATTCAGAGTAATGACCGCTTGTATGCTTTGAGTCAAATTTTTAATGTCCGTGTCTTTGTCTTTGCAATGCCCCCTCACGTGGCTTTGGAATTTCGTAATGTGCACTATTGTGCAATTTCAAATAATTTAAAATGTTCAGCTTTCACAGATTCCTCGTGTCTGGTATTTAGCTTGAGCTTCGTGTAATAATGTCACCGCTTTGGCAATTCTCCCAAAAAGAAAATGTTTCATCCAATTGTTGTTGACCTCAACAGATTTCACCACTGTTTCCAGCCTGATGCTGATGCAAACGATGAACATACCACCCCCAACCACGTAAGAAATCACCAAATCTCTTAACACCATGACAAAACTTGTACCCTGAGTAAGCCCAGATTTCCTCGAACCTCACGAAGCAGATTTCGGAATAGTTTCTGTCTGATACAGACACACACAATAGAAGAGAACACTTCGTCATATCACAAGACTGACGTGCAAATTATCAGTTGGACCCTCTGAAAGCAAACTATCCTGAGCACACACACGCTTTTCAGACTCCGATATTTATATATACATATATATGTTTCTCGAATTCTAGTCCATGTCCTCTTTTCTCTACGAGTACCAGTCGCTTGTAGAACTGTTATAAAAGTGTCTCCGAATAGAACTCCCAGCTTCATGTCCCAGTTTTGAGATAGAAAAATTCACCTGCAGCATCTGAAAAGGCCTGCACGACTTTCTAGACCTCCAACGAATGATAAGATAGTCTTCACAGTGATCGTCTTCACCATACAATTTGCGAGTGAGCTCCATCGCCCATATGAGAGTATGAATAAGTTTGTGAAAAAGACTAGATCCTTGACGATATTGCCGACAAAAAGCTCCGTGACTCTCCCCAATTCCAAAGTCCACGCTGAAATTCTCACCACCACGCAAATTTTGGAGACCCCTCGCCACTTGAAAATCGTAAAGCACTGGAGTGACCTAAAACGGGTATCGGCCCGTTCTGTTCGAAACAAACAATTTTCGACAACAAGCGGTGTGAATTTGATTTATGAACGATGGTAACATCCACACCACAGAAACCCACTCGTGAAATCGTCAGAGCTTTTTATTTGTCCTCTGTGTCGCATTTACGTTCTTCCAGTGTACCCATTGAGCAAGAGTGTTGTTTTACCGGAAAGGAATAGGCAACGCCACAAAAGCAGCGCTTTTTTCCATGAAATGACAGGTTTTTATCAAGAATACAACTAATGCTTGATCTCCCAAAGTTGATACTTCGCGGTTGTGCAGCCTACCCTGAGAATAAATCGATAGATTAGGTGGAGCAGGATTTAATACTTTATATATGCTCGAAGCCGAAGAGAAATGCTCTCTAGTGACCGAATGCCACATTTTAGTATCGCTTGTTCCGTTGGCGGAATGATGGTACACTTAATACATTCTCTCGTCTCTCGGCTTTCCCACTGGAAAGTGCCATATTTCCATACCTGTAGTCGACATCTTTGCGCGGATTTAGCCGGATCCTCTGAGCATGATACTATAGTCCTGCCAAGAAAATACCAAGCCCCTGAACTACCTTGCAGGCTGTAGAAAATTTCCTAATTCACATTCTGTTGAAGACTTGTAAGTCTCCATGCAGAGCAGGTTATGTTGACATCGGTCATGTCGCCTATGAAAACATCCTGTAGCTCTTGCTATGGTACTGTAGGAAGTTCGATGCAGCAAATAAAAACTTGTAGCGGGTACAGCAAGTAAAGCTCTTCGCATGGTGTTTGCACTCGGTTTACGGTTACGTTTACATCTTCTACCCTACATGGCACACAACATTCTGGGACTGCTCAGCGTTCTAGTGATACCAATGGGTATGATAGAAGACATGGACTAGACTATGTACCATACCGACGGGAATCGCAGTAGATCTCCTATCTAAAGAGCAGTTGACAGTAATACTCGTTGGTCTTAACATCGCCCTACGGACTAGGCATATATGGGCCGCACACTTGATGCAAGCATCACTGGGAACATGATGCGTCTTCTACCGTTTATAGCAGTTCTCGCGCAACTGCAGTTCCACACACCCGTGCCTAAGGACGCGCTCAGGCTCACCAAGGTTTCCAACTATCTCTCATAAACTTCACTGCCGATGTGATCTGCGTTATCCGATCTTCCTCATCGCTAAAGTGAAAGTGTCCGCCATGCCCTGGCCACCCGTGCAGGAACGGAATATTCACGAGCTTTTCCACCGATTTAACGAGTTCTTCCCTTGAATGCATAATGTATCTTGCTCCGCATAGTCTATCCTCTCGCTGCGAGTAAAATATGTGATCCCCTGTGAACAAGCTCTGCGTTCCACGGTGCAGCATCGCAATCGATCCGCTAGTGTGTCCCGGCACATGGATCAGCTCAACGCCCTCCATTAACGTGTACGGAAAGTTAGCATCTTCCAACTGCACCTCGCACGCGGTTGTTCCTTGGCGCTCATTGCACTCTCTTTTATGTATGACCCTCTCCGCGCCGAGCTCGCTCGCCCATTTCGCATGTCCAGCTACATCATCCTGATGCGACAGAACCAAATAACGGATGCCTCCAAGGGGCTCCGCCATCTTCTTTATAGCCTTTGACAGAGGCTTGAAAAACCTCGGACAGTCAAACATAATGACGCACGGATCATCGCCTCTCTGAATGACCAACCAGCTGGCACCGCCAAAGGTATCCGGGGACGCAAAGCCGTTGTAAAACACGTCCGGTACGGTGGTGGACTCAAGTGTGTTTGGCATAGCGAGTGGGAAGGAGCTCCGTGCATCGCGAGCAATACGAGATGGCTTTGTGGTGCGGATGGAGCCCGTCGGACAGGCGACGGCAGCCTGCAGAGCGATGAGCTGAGCGTCGGGGGTGGTCGGCTGGTTGTACACGGCAGATTGGCCGTGAGACGAGTGGAATATTTGCGGGGCTAGCCCTGCGACGAGAAATGGGAAACCGAGCAAAAGTTAATTGGAGGGTATAGAGGGCGCGAGTGAGTAGGATAGGATGTGTAGCGGGTGTACTGACATTTGCATGTGTCGCAGTCTATGCAGCTCGAATCGACGTAGAGATCTCCTGGTGCGTTTTCGGGACGCCGAACGGGTGCGGAGGCGGAGAATCTTGGAGGGCGTCGGCATACTGCGCGCAGCGATGGCGTACCGGGGTGATGGGAGACGTGGACGGGGCCTGCGAAGGCTGCTACCGGCATTCTGGATGTGGTCTGCACTGGAAAGCGGTGAGTTGACTAGCGGATGCGGTCTATGAAAATGTGATAGCGTTTGAATGTTGAGTTAGGCGGTGGAAGACGTCTCGTTAGGCAGGGGGTTGAGGGAGGATGGTTAGGCCGGAAGAGAGCGAGTAAAGAACATTTGTGCAAAGAGAAGATTCCCTTTGAGCGGCTGATTGGCACGACATGATTGGTGTTCTGCATTTTGCACTGGGGGGACACGTTCGTCCAATGGGACCTCACGATCTACGTGGTAGCACAATGCAATTGAATGCAGTACGCTGGTACAGTATGTGCTGGAATAGAAGAAATATATTTATAAATATATTTTATACTGGTGAGAAGTGGCGAAGTGGCGGAATGTTATTTCCAGGATGCACCCAGTCAGTAAGTACATTACACGTGAATGGCAAGTATATATATACTTGCCAGCTACGTGTGAGCTTGCTGTGGACAAGCAGGATTCTCTACAGTATAATACTAGTGACTAGTATTAGATGGCGGATTTTTTTGGTGGAAGCTCGATGCCTTGGCTCTGTCCCCGTTCGCACAACCGAGGCAAAGCCATTCGACTTTATGGAGATTGCCAATGAAAATCACAATGACAACCGACCAGCATGCGCCGTGAAACGCCCGTTGCGCAAGCCTATTCTCAGTGGGTGGATCCAGAAAATGTTCAACGCGCCACATTTGGCAATCTCACCTGGAGAAAACCGTTCCGGAGAGATCCCATTCTTCCTCATCCTGCATCATGTCATGTCGCATTCACAACCACCCTCTTCCCTAACCCCCTCTTCCCTCACGACTGCTCGCACCTTTCTAGAAACCGTTTACACTGTAGAAAATTGCAGCTCTCGTTAAGCAATACCAAACATCCTCCTACTTCTTATTCCACCCTCCAACTTGAGAATTGAAACTTCTGGAGACGGCTTCACACTATCTGAGTTCTAAGACATCCTGTGATTCACATTGTAGCCTGGACTTCTGCTCCTTGCATGGCACCATCAAGGTACTCAGTTGAATGGGCAGCTTCTTCCATTTGGAGGCTTCTGACGTCGTTTCGCAATATAGATCCATGTGCATCGTTGACTGGCCAATTTTTTTCTGCTTTTGGGTGTACAGTACGATGACGAAAAGTGGTTTCTTTGTCGACCCACACAGTGAATACCAGGAAATATATATCGGTTTTATGATACTCTCGTTTATTACGCAAGAATCGAAGTTTGGCAGCACCTCCATGTCAAAGCGAAAGTGTTTTGTTTGAGTTTAGGTCATGCCTTGACCTGTGGAGACTTTGAAAACTCATTCGAGTCTAACACCGTAAGCTCGAGGCCAGTTCAAAGAAATTCATGCCAACTTCAAACGGGATTCCAGAATGCATGTTGGGGGACAAAACAAGTCACCAGAGGTAAGACAGCCGCACATTGGAAGTCGCAAAATTAGAAATTGTGAAAATATATATGGAAAACAAGAACTGAAACAGCATCTGTATCTGTTAGAGAGGGCACGCGAACAGAAAAAAATCAATAGCTCAACAGTTAAAGGGGGGGGGGGGGGGGGGGGGGCCCAAATCGGGAAAAAAAAATAAAAAAGTTTTTTAAAAAAATCCTTCCCCCGGGGGGGTTTTTTTTTTTTTTGGGATTTTTTCCCCACCCCCAAAAAA